AAAAAAAAAAAAAGAAAGAAAGAAAGAAAAAAAGGAAGGAAGGAAGGAAGGAAGGAAGGAAGGAAGGAAGGAAGGAAGGAAGGAGGGAAAGCTCACAAACATTTTTTAAAATGACATGAAGAAATGACCTTTGAGAGAACCACCAGAAGGCACAGCCAGCATTACCCACTTGCCAGAGATGGCTGAACAGCCTGAAAGAAACGGTAAATATGTGCTTCACGTTGACTTACGGTTCTTAACTTTAATTCTTCATTTTTTTAGTGAGGTTTTTGCCTTAAGGCACATGTGCTTGCCAGAAAGAGAGACGGTGAGAGGGAACGTGAGAAATACCCTCACTTGCAGGGATGGCCACAGCACAATTCCTTCTCCTCAAATTTTTTCCTGGGATCTTGGGCAGGCAACACACCCGGTGTGAATTTCAAGCCACCAGCTCCAGGACTCAACCATGGTCAGCCATGTGGGAGTCCAGGGATGTAACCGCTACGCTGTCTGCTGGCTCCTTAACCTTAATTCTTTGAGTCTAGGAACTATCTTGTTCTCCCAACTATGGAAGAAAATTAATTTTCTTACTTTGCCTATAGCAGCTCAGGTTGAATTTCTGTAACTTATTAAACTGAAAGAATCTTGATTAATACAAGTCTGTTGGTGTTAGGAGACAGTCTTCCATGAGGGTTTCACCTTTCTCCACCTCTTTAGAGCAGAGACACTGCCCTGTGTCCCTGTGTTCTCAGCAATGTTTGTACAGAGAATTGCCTCGGAAAATATAATGTCTCCTTCCAGAGCAAAGGAGAAGACATGCTTACTGCCCATTTTGAGATATTCTCAGGGCTAGGTGGTAATGCAGTAACACAACTGGGCCACATGGAAGAGGTCCTGAGTTGCTGTCCCAGGCCCTTCCTGAGTAAACTGGGCACATGAATGTGAACCTGTGACCCAGGCCCATGTCCTGGGTCAGCTGAGACTGGGTGGATCACTGGGTGAAGACCTATTGGAGGTGCTGTCCCCCTCTCTCTCTTTTTCTATCTATCTCTCATGGAAGAAATAAACTTTTTAAAACTTCTGATTACCAGAGCCAGCAGGTGTCATGATGATTAAGGTGCTGGACTCCCACATGGCTGACTGAAGTTGAGTCTTGGACCTGATGGCTTGAAAATCATGCCAGATATGTGTGCATACATGCCCAAAATTCCCAAAGGAGAAGAGGTCGCAGTGTGGCCATCCATCCCTGGGAAGTGACTTCTCACTCTCTTACTCTCTAAATCTGTCTCTCTCCTCTCTGGCAAGTGCACAGGCCTTATTATGGGGGTGGGGGTGGGGGGAAAAACAACTCTGTTTACCATAAACCAGGGATCGTCTCATATAACACAACCCTCTGCATGTGCAGGTATCTATCTAAGCTTATCTAGATCACTTCCAGGGTTCTGGAGTTTGAGGCAAGGGAATAGATACAGCTATTCTAAGGACCATGCTGTTTGTCATGGTATCAGGCATATGTGCACGCATGCCCAACATCCCCAAAGAAAAGAGAAATGAAGGAGAAGGGATTGCAACAAGACCGTGCCCATGAAGGGTGCTTTCTTGCTCTCCTACTATCTCGAGTACACATGCCCCATGGAAAAGAATTTAATTGTATGTATAAACTATGCAGAACTAAAGCATTCATAATCCTTCTGCTCCCTTCCTCTACCTCAGATACCAGCAAATCTTTACTGAGCCTCACCCACCCATGGTTTTCCTTGCTTTTCTACCTCTGGCTTCACAATAGCCTGTGCTGAGGTCTCTATGAATACCTAGGACCTCAAATTAGTTTTCTTTTTTTCATTCTTAAAGTCTTTTGGAGATGAGCTATGAAGTCTTCATACTGGTCTTCCTGTTAGTTCTGGCGTCTCAGCTTCTAAGTTTTGCTTTAGCTCAGCTCATTAGCTCAACAGCCCATCCTTTACTGAATAGTGCCTTAATTTACCTCCAGGAATCAGTGTGCTTCTAGACTTCCAACACATACCCCTCTCTGACCCATAAGTGCCAGCAAGAACCTTAAGTCTGGACAGTGGAGCCCTGGACACAACCCTGATCCAAATCACTAATTGATCTCCATCTCCTAGGTCTTGAACATGGGATTTGGAAGTTGCTGAAACTATTCCTTTGTCTCTGAGACTCATTACCCTCACCCACTCCATCCAGAGTCTTGAGAAACAGTTTCACCCCAATGTTGTAGAGACAAGGGCCGAATTCATGAGTAGGTGAGTATTTAAAGGAGAGAATATAATCCAGTGTAAACCTTGGACGTATTCTTAGTAGACATATATGCAAGGAGAGGAAATCTGTGTGTCTCAAAACCATTTGCACCCCTACTTACAATAACCAAGATACAGGAGAGAATGAATCCTGTCATTTGGGGTTAAATAGGAGAACCGGAAAGACATACTGCTAAGTGAAATGAAATGGAACAATTTTTTAAGAATTATTTATTGGGGACCAGCAGTTAGTATAATGGCTATGTCACTGGACTCCCACGTAGTCAACCGCAGTTCACGTACCGGACCCAGTGGCTTAAACTCACGCCAGGCGCGTGTGCGTGTGTGCCCAAGATCCCGAGAGGAGAATGGAGGAGAAGGGATTGCGGCGTGACCATCCTGGGGGGGTGATTTCTCGCTTTCTGTCTCTATGTCTCTCTCTGTCTGTCTGGCAAGCGCACGCACCCTATAGCGAAAACCTCTCCCAAAAAAAGAAAGAAAAATACCACATGCTCTCACTGTGGAAATCAACGAGAAAAAAAAAGTACTTCTTAGAAGCAGAGTGCTAGGTAAAATCTCTTTACAATCTAAATGATGCATAGCAATTTAATGTATGAATATTAATAAAAAGTACCAATATTTGCAGAATTAAAAAATAAATAAATAAATCTTGTAAAAATATATTTTAAAAAGAAAAAGAAAAACAACTACTCAAAGCTGAGAAGGTTGGAGGTGGTGGAATGATGTTGATTAATGGAAACAGGATTATAGATAGATAAGAGGAACAATTTCTAATGTTATAAAATATATTTGAGGGAATCTACAGTTAATAACAATTTACTGCATATCTCAGATAACTGAAAAGAAGGATTTTAAGTCTGTGACAAATGGTTGAGATGATTACCCTGATTTAATACATTGTATTCTTCTATTAAAAATAACATTGTGGGACCAGTAAATGGTGTGATGGTTACATTAATGGACACAGACCACTGCAATTTGAGTGTCTGACCCAGGGGCTTAAAACTCATGCCGGGTTTGTCCCATGACAAGATGAACCTCACAAGACCTACAGGAAAGTTTACCATCTGCCTTAAAACTTAAAATATGCCATCTGTTCATCAGAATAAAAGAGGACTAAAATATATCAGAGGGATTTTTTACCGTAAATAATAGTATTGAATATTTGCTTGAAAATAGTAGTGGTTACTTTGGTAGATGAGGTATGGAACCAGTAAGCCAAATTAAGAATAATTCAGTTCTTTTGGTATATATAAGTGTGTAACTTTTCAAAGCCAAGCACAAACCTGTTGAAAATATTTTTTTGTTAGTTGGTTTCTTAAAAAGACTAGGAAAAACAAAAAGGATGTATCTTTGAACGAAAATCTTTTAAGTTGGGACTCATGAGTCCTTTACTTGTTATTTTCTCTTGGATCATTGTTCACATTGAGTTGCTTTTGCTGTTTCAGCAAGTCCTTACTGAGTTTTGTGGAGAATAACATTATCCAAAAAAAATATAAAAAAAAAAAAAAAAAAAAAAAAAAAACCTCATGCCAGGCACATGTGTATGCATGTCCAAAATCCCAAGAGGTAAGTGGAGCAGAAGGGATGTGGCGTGGCCATCCCCCCTAGAGGATGATCTCTCACTTTCTGTCTCTCTATTGCTCTTTGTCTCTCTGGCAAGTGCACACGCCCTATAGCAAAAAAGAAAAAAAATCACACTGTACTCCACAAGCGTGTACAACTAGTATGTTAATAAAAATAAATTTAATATGGGACCAGCAGATGGTAATGGTCACATTGCTGGACTCCCATGCAGTCAACTGTGGTTTGAGTCCTGGAACCAGCAGTTTAAAACTCATGCTAGGTGCCTGTGTATACATGCCCAAAACTTTGAGAGGAAAATAGAGGAGAAGGGATTATGGCATGGCCATTCCCTTCAGGGGAGTGATTTATTATTTTCTATCTCTCTGTCTCTCTGTTCTCTGGCAAGTGCACAAGCCCAATAGTAAAAATCTCTCTGACATAAATAAATAAATAGACAAAATAATACATTTAATAGAAAAATGTTTTAACTATGGAGTATGAGCTAAAAATTTTTGATATGTAAAGTAAATGTTTGTGGAAAAATGTAAAAATAAATAAATAAAGCCTCAAGAAAAAAAAAAGAAAAATGTTTTAAAATAAGATTGTGTAGGACAATTAGACAATAGAAAGAGAATTGAGAAAGGGATAAAGAGGGATAAAGAAGTCAAAAGAGGGGCTGGCTTCATGGCCTGGTGGTTAAGGAAGTCTGATTCGATATGGCTGACAATTCAAATCTCTGCCCCCAGAGGACTGAAAAAATCATCCCAGCATGTGCACATGGACTCCAAATCCTGATAGGATGGAGAAATGCAAGAGAAGGGACTGCATCATGACCATACCCCACTGGGGGCGGGGGGGTAAGGGAGTGCTTTCTCTCTCTCTCTCTCACTGTCTCTGTCTCTGTCTCTGGTGAGTGCACACACCCACAGTTGATCCAGGACTAGGCATCCACTAGAACCAGCCACCAACCCCTTCCCTAAGAATCTGGAGTCAGGCTGGTTCTGATATGCCCCCAGAACCTGCTGCTGCAGATGACAGTCGGATAGGTGGGCTGAGGGCTGGGTGAATGAGGAAGAAAGAAAGGGCTGGGGGACCGAGAGGGCCCAGGCACACTGAGTTCAAAGGCCAGCTGCAGCCCTGGCTTTGGGCTCCAGCAGATATCACTGACCATTTATTGGAGCTACCTCTGGTCACAATCATGTCTATGAAGTGACCAACGAATGGAAATAAACGTCTACCTTGTAACGATGCTAGAATGTCTCGACAGAAGATAAGTTAACTTTCTAAGAACTGAGGTGGAAAACAAGCCAGAATCTGTGATTACATATCATTATCCAAAGCTATATTTATGACCCTTTAATCCATTAAAGCAAGCCCTCAATTATTCATCTGAAATCACAGAACGCAGGCTGAGGTTGCTATCAGTCACCTCCGTGATGGAAACCCCTCTCCCTCCTGAATGGGTAATGATTAACGGCATGATACAGAAAGAAAAAATAAATACACACTGTCTACAATATAGCTTTGAAGTGTATTTAAAGGCTCCTTCAACTTTGCTTTGTTATGTTTCTTTGTCTATTTAGGATTGCCTTGACCATTCAGTATCTTTTGTGAACTTTTCAAATTTTAGAATTATTTCCTCTATAACTGCAAAGCCAGGCACACAGATATTATAGGTGTTACTTATATGTGGAGGCTAGAATGTATCTAGTAATAATAGTGGGTTACAGGGCCATCGGGTTGCATGATAGTTAGGGTACTGGAATCTCACAAGTCTGACAGAAGTTCCAGTCCCAGATTTGGGACAGCTTCAGTCCTGGCTTGAAAAAATCATTCCTGGTGCATGTACATATGTGCCCAAAATTGAGAGGGGAATGGAGGAAAAGGGATTACAGCATGGCCATTCCCTTCAGGGGGGTGATTTATTATTTTCTATCTCTCTGTCTCTCTGTTCTCTGGCAAGTGCACAAGCCCAATAGTAAAAATCTCTCTGACATAAATAAATAAATAGACAAAATAATACATTTAATAGAAAAATGTTTTAACTATGGAGTATGAGCTAAAAATTTTTGATATGTAAAGTAAATGTTTGTGGAAAAATGTAAAAATAAATAAATAAAGCCTCAAGAAAAAAAAAAGAAAAATGTTTTAAAATAAGATTGTGTAGGACAATTAGACAATAGAAAGAGAATTGAGAAAGGGATAAAGAGGGATAAAGAAGTCAAAAGAGGGGCTGGCTTCATGGCCTGGTGGTTAAGGAAGTCTGATTCGATATGGCTGACAATTCAAATCTCTGCCCCCAGAGGACTGAAAAAATCATCCCAGCATGTGCACATGGACTCCAAATCCTGATAGGATGGAGAAATGCAAGAGAAGGGACTGCATCATGACCATACCCCACTGGGGGCGGGGGGGTAAGGGAGTGCTTTCTCTCTCTCTCTCTCACTGTCTCTGTCTCTGTCTCTGGTGAGTGCACACACCCACAGTTGATCCAGGACTAGGCATCCACTAGAACCAGCCACCAACCCCTTCCCTAAGAATCTGGAGTCAGGCTGGTTCTGATATGCCCCCAGAACCTGCTGCTGCAGATGACAGTCGGATAGGTGGGCTGAGGGCTGGGTGAATGAGGAAGAAAGAAAGGGCTGGGGGACCGAGAGGGCCCAGGCACACTGAGTTCAAAGGCCAGCTGCAGCCCTGGCTTTGGGCTCCAGCAGATATCACTGACCATTTATTGGAGCTACCTCTGGTCACAATCATGTCTATGAAGTGACCAACGAATGGAAATAAACGTCTACCTTGTAACGATGCTAGAATGTCTCGACAGAAGATAAGTTAACTTTCTAAGAACTGAGGTGGAAAACAAGCCAGAATCTGTGATTACATATCATTATCCAAAGCTATATTTATGACCCTTTAATCCATTAAAGCAAGCCCTCAATTATTCATCTGAAATCACAGAACGCAGGCTGAGGTTGCTATCAGTCACCTCCGTGATGGAAACACCTCTCCCTCCTGAATGGGTAATGATTAACGGCATGATACAGAAAGAAAAAATAAATACACACTGTCTACAGGAATTAATTATACAACCTACATGAAGGTCATTAGTCTGCTTGCAAAATTCTTCATAATCCCGGTCAAAATCTAGTTTCCGCTGGTCTAAGAAATCGTATTCCTTTTTCTTTATGGTCAACACGATGCTCTGAAATATTATAAAAGAAAGACAAGATTTCAATATTTTGCATTACTCGACTATTCTGAACCTGAAATGTAAAACCTTACAATCATTCCCAAAAAATCCATTGAAAGGAAGCTGTATTTCTTCAATTATTCCCATTGCTTAGTCCTTATTACTTTATAGACAATGTAGTATTACTGAACTGCCTTCAAAGAAATCACGTCCAAACCATTTTCATGAGATTTTACATACTTCTAAAGAAAAATAAAATAAATGAGAGGTGTTTTCTCTAAAAGTTTCTTATTAATCACATCTGAAAATATTAAAAGGAAGCTTGCAGTAGAATTTACGAAAACACTCTTCCTTGGGAAGTTTAAATCTTCTCAGAAAATAAATAAGGCATTAATGGGACACACACAATGTAGGAAGAAAGTAATGTTATAATAATCTAGAGATGGAATGTTATCTTCCAAGCCTCAAATGTCTTAAATAAAATGTCAGACCACAAACTACCACTTTAAAACTCTCTAGAATTAATTGCTTCCCACTGCCCTGCAAAGCTGCAGTCTGTGACTACAAAAGAACAAATTAGGCAATTCATCTCCTTGAAAATACTATTATCAGAAGTTTTGTTTGCGCTGAATAATGAGCTGTAATGCTCTGTGATCATTCGTAACCAGATACTAAGCCATCCTCAAACTCAGGTGCCCACGTTGTTGACAGAGGCATATAATTTTTATGAAGAATGTTGGGCCTCCTTCTACAATCTCCTCTTCAAAGTCATTTCCATTTAAATATCAATTCAAACCTCTCAACAGACAAAAGTGTCTAAACTGTAGAACTTCTTGAATCAAGTTCACTCGTTAAAGTGACCTGCTCTTGAGTGCTGGGAAACCACAACACGAGTTATGGTTATTGTATGTACTCAAAGGGGGCTTCAAAAAGTTTACTTTGGTGCAAAACCATTTTGCAATCCATGCGTAACTTTTTCATCATATGCATTTTCCATGAAATTTAAAGGTTTAGAAGAGCTTGGGGATGTTTATGGTCGCTGCTGCACATGCATGCAACGGAGACTCAGAGAAAAAGCAACCTCGACAGGGTCTCATCATACCACAATCCCCTTTCCCAGACCTCAGCTCCTCAGGATCCTGGGTACCCATGCAAGCCCAGCCTGCTTTCAGGCTGACCTGGAGATCTAAACCTCCATCAGCCAAGTGGTCTCCAGTTTTGCAGAGAACTGCATTTCCACTGCAGCACAGTGGCTTGACCATCCATGAACCTTTTGAAGATCCACTTGTGTGTGTGTGTGTGTATTTTTAATTTCCATAGGTCTCTGTATCTTTTAAATTGCTGTGTTAAAATGTAGTAATATAGCTTTTCCATGCTTCTTTGAGAAGTTTTATGTAGAGAGTGTGTGTGTGTGTGTGTGTGTGTGTGTGTGTGTGTGTATTTTTATAAAAACCCACACACACACACACACACACACACACACTCTCTACATAAAACTTCTCAAAGAAGCATGGAAAAGCTATATTACTACATTTTAACACAGCAATTTAAAAGATACAGAGACCTATGGAAATCTTGCTCCAAGATTGAGTTTATGGTCATTCAAGAGTAATAAATATTAAAATTGTTCATTGTGACCTTTAAACCAACTATTCAAATCTATTTAATCATTTACTTGATAAATATTTATTCCATACCTGTAAGGTGCCAGTCAACTCTGAAGGTACAGGAACATACAGAACAGAAAAAAAGAAATGTCCCTGCCCTGAGGTAATTTACATAATTGCTAGAGGACAAGGGATCAGAAAATAAGTGAGCCACAAAGAAATAAAGCTGATAGTTTTAGACAGTAATAAAATGGATAATGTGACAAATAATGACTGAGGTAAAGCCGAGGTCAAAGAAAACTTAATCAAGAAGGTTACTTAAATATGATCTGGAGAAGCCAGAGAGCAGCTAGCAGTAATACAACTCATTCAAAATAAAAAATAAAGTGTCGGCAGGTGGTGCAGACTCCTGCATGGCTGACGACGGTTTGAGTCCCGGACCTGGCAACTTGCTTTCTCATTTTCCCTTTCTCTCTCCCTCTCTCCCTTTATCTCTCTCTCTGTTCAAATTAAAAAATAATAACAAATAAAATAAATCTTTAAAAAGTAAAAAGTAAATTCCAAACTGAAAAATAAATGGATGTATTGCCTGTCTTGGAAAACTGTCCCTTGTAGATTATTCTCCTTGCATATTACACACGGCACCCCTTAAATGTTCTATGCTATATAAAGGACTTCTCTTTTTCTCTCCCAAAACCTGGTACACTAACAAGATAAAAAAGTGTCCTTCTATTGTCCTAAATTGTTACTATACAAAAATTAATATGTGGAACTAAATTATATGATCCTTTTCTAATTCAAGTAAAAAAAAAAGTTTTAGTGTCACTGTCCCCAAACAAGGGGAAAAATTTACTATATCCACATTAGGAATTTTGTTGTATAATTTTCCTTATATATTAATGTTTTCTTTATTTATAATAGAGTGCACACAAATTAAAAACACAGTGTGTGTGTGTGTGTGTGTGTGTGTGAGAGAGAGAGAGAGAGAGGAGCACCTTCCTCCACAAGGTCCGATCACACAACTACCCCCTCCCTCCAAACCTCCAACAATCCTCCAGCCTGTTGGACTCAGGCATTAATGCAGGTGCCAAGTGTGTCTCAGGACCACTGGACCAGAGATCCAAACAGCAGTCACTGCGTGGAATTTATCTTCTCTTGAGCAGCACATTATCCTTGCTCCGTGGAGCTGGCTCTATACTAAGAATTTAAGATACATTTTGTTTTGCAGATTGTTTTTAAAAAAATTATTAAAATGTTATTAAATCACTGTGCCCACTTTCAGAACTAAGATTTGTCATACAGGTACCCTCTCAAGATAGAGCAGTTAAAGCAGGCGGTGTGGTAGTCAAGGCACTGGATTCCACATGGCTGACTCTGTGATTGAATCTGGACCTGGCAGCCTGAAAAACACACCAGATGTAAGTGTGTGTGTGCCCAAAATCCTGAGAGGAGAATGGAGGAAAAGAGAATGAGGCTTAGCCATTCCCACCCCCAGGACAGGGTGGGGCAGATTTCTCCTTTTCCCTATTTGTCTTTCTCTGTGTCTCTCCAGTGAGCACATGTGCAATAATAATAATAATAATTATCAAAATAAATAGAAATATTACAACTAAAATAAAATCTGGTTGGCCCAGCCACAGTGGCTTACACTGCTAAGATGCTGTGCTCTGCAAATTGAAAAAAAATAAAATCTGGTTGGCCCAGCCACAGTGGTTTACACTAAGATGCTGTGCTCTGCAAACTGAAAGCATGTAGGAGGCCCTGGTTTGATTTCTGGTCCAACCTAGAGGCCAGACACATAGGCATATACCTGTAATCTCAGTAATTCAGAAGGCTGAGGCAGGCAGGTGCTAGATCAAGGCTGGCCTGGCCAACATAGCAAGACCTGATTTTAAAAAAATCTCAGTGTGATGGCATACCCCTGTAGTTCCTACTGGAGGCTGAGGCAGCTAGATGGTTGTATGGTAAGACCTTACTTTAAAAAATAATAATAATCTGCAATCCCACCAGCAGAGTAAGAGAGTTCTCCTTTTACCACACCCTCACCAGGACTGTTCATTTTTTGTTTTTTGAATCTTAGTCATTCTGACTAGGGTTAGGTGGTATCTCATTGTTGTTTTGATCTGCATTTCCCTTACAATGAGGGATGTTAATATATACCAAGTGTCCGCACTCTATGACTGAAACTAATTGGCTAAAGGATATAGAAACATAGTATATAGTTATAAATACAAGATATAGTGTGTGTGAAAGAGGAGGGTCTGAGGAAGGACATTTAGAAGAAAAATAGGGAGGCAAAGATTAATGGCACAGAGAAATGTGGTATTATCTGTTGAAGATATTTTGTAGTTTTATCAACTGTACTAGGGAGAAATGTTCACCTGTTGAAATACCCATTTTGTAAGCCAAATAATGTGATTGAATGTATGGAAGAAAATGAAATTTAAAAATTTTTAAAAATATAAATAAATAATAATCTGATCCTTTATATTTTTTAACATGTGTCCAAATGAAATATGTAAACACAGAGCTAACTATATGCCACTCAGAACTTGACAGAAGCTGGTGCCTGACACGTGATATAGTCCTCATTAAATACTTGTTGCATGAATAAATGAAACAAGTCATACTGAAATATTTTTCTTCTGATACTAATGAAAATGCTTTTTCTTAATGCTGACTAATTTTGGACTATTGGGAAGTCATTCTTATAACCACATATTCTTATAATCACACACCATAATTCTCAAATAAATCTGTCCTATTGCTAAGAAGTCATGAGGTTACATCTTACATTGTGAACTGATGGTTTGAATAATGCTAGGTATAATTATTTTCATAAAATATTGAAGTTTCATTACGGATAATGGTAGCAAAAACAGTTTTAAAGTATAATACCTGGTATTTAGTGACCATGTCTTCCAGCCCTTCAATTTTGGAATCTTGCAGGACTGAGTATGTCTTGAAGGTAGTAAAGATATCCATTATCTTAGCAAGGCGTCGGTGGAATGTTTCAAATTTCCCAAAAATATACATCTCACTAAATTCAAATTGTTTTTCATGTGGATCCTGTTTAAGTTTTTGTTTTGTCTTGTGAAAGTAGTGCTGATATTCCTTCAAATTGAAAACCAACATATAAGAGACCATAGCAAAAATATCAACCTCTTTTTTTTAAGTGAAAGACACAACAAAATTAGGATAAAACTGGCAGCCTTTTCACAGTTTCGTGTCTCTGCATTTACTCATCCACCAGCCTCTAGCATCATCTTTTCCCATCCAGCAATCTAGAAAACTCCAGAGCTCACTTTTGGGAATAGCATATTCTCTACCTCCCCATTCATCTATACAATATTTAAGGAAAATGACCTCATTTTAGTTAATGTTGTATTTCTAGCACCTAGCATGCTACGGACATAGTAAACCCCCAACAAGGATAGAGTAAGTGAATAAGTTTTCTGGGAAGGATTATTAACACTCAATTTTTGTAACAGTAAAGAACTACTCTTCTTAAGGGGCTGGGTGGTGGTACTGCAGTAACACAATCCTCTGCAAGGCTGTCCCCCCTAAGAAGGTTCCAGACTACATCCTAATGCCTCCCTGAACATCTGGGCACACACATGCCAATACTCCAAGGCTGCCAGAATCCAGGGATGGATGACAGCCTGAAGACCCTGTTAGGTTGTCTATTTCTCTGTTTCTCTGTCTCTCTTGTTGCTGGAAGAAAGAAACTTAGAATTAAAAAATGAATGACTGCCCTTGTTGGCAGCCAATAACATGAGAGTTGAAAAAAGATTTAAAATGGCCTCAGCAAAAATAGCATAGAAATGATAAAACGACTCATTATATTACCAAGCTGACCATTACCTGCTTAAGTTTAACTGCAGAGAGTATTTTCTCCACAACAACATCCTGTGGCTGGCTCCAGATGGAAGCAGTTCCATTGTTGGTAATATAGGCTTTACATGCAGATATCATCTGGTTGGTCACCTGGAATTTTCCAGTAGAATCATGGTAAGGACAAAGGCCAGACAATGGTGCAGTTGGAAAGCACAAGAGTCTGCAAGGTAATCCCACATTAGAAGGTTCCGGGTTCAAGTCCAGAGACCTTCCTGAGTATACCAGGCACGTGCTTGCAGAACAACTCAGGGCTGGCTGAAGGCTGGGATGGATCATGGAGGCACGACCCTGTCATGGGTTCTCTCTCTCTCTCAGAAGAAGAAATAAAACCTTTTTAAAAATATATATGTTGAGTACATAAAATAGCTACGGATTATAAATTCAACTAACGTGTCTTTAACTCTTCTATTTCTGAGTTCACAACCTGTGAATTTAAGCCTTGGGTCTTCTTTATTCTCTCACAGATATGATCAAGCACCTTTTTTTTGAGGGGGAGGAAGAGGTTCTTTTGCTATAGGATGCATGATGCGTGCATGCACTCACCAGAAGGCAGAGACAGACAGAGAGCTAGAAAGCAAGAAATCATCCCCCAGGGGGATGGTCACACTGCAATCCATTCTCCTCTCAGGATCTTGGGCACACATGCACATGCACCTGGCATAAGTTAAGCCACCAGGTCGAGGACTCGAACCGAGGTCAACTACATGGGAGTCAAGCGACATAGCCCTTACACCAACTGCTGGTCCCTCAAGCACTTATTTTTAATACTGTCAAAATCCTTTGTGGAATCACAGACTTGAAAACACCACAGACAATCCACGATTCAGGCCACCATGCTTATGCAGGATGAATGTCTTAACCAAGGAAGGATTCACTTCTTACCCAAAAGCTGGTGAGTTTCCCCAGTCTCCGTAGGTAGCCTGCTCCAGTACATAATTCACAGTTTAAATGTGCTACTGAAAGGCTGTCCACCCTGACCTCATGCCACTGCAGTCCGCAGTGAAAATGTCAAAGGAGGCACAGAGAGAAGAGTAAAGCTAATGTGTGAAATGGCTAACATTCTGTTTATCCCTCCAAACACCACATTCTTTAACTGTGGTGGCTCAGGCGATGGGATACCACCATGCAATGCTGAGGCCAAGTGGAGAGAATTCCTACAGTGGGAAACTTTGTCAAGGGTGTCTGTCTGTCTGTCTCTCTGCATAAATAAACTTTTTAAAAAGGGGCCACTAAATGACTGTACTGCATGTACAGAATAAGATGCCTGGGATTTGCAATGCAAGGGGTGGGGCAGGGAAAATGGGATGGGCCTTGTATTGACAGTGATCAGGGGACATACACAGTGGGGGTCAGTACACAAGTATCCTTTGGAACCTGTTTTGAATGTTCCATAGTGAAAGGTTGTTACTCATTAGATAAACGGTGGTCTGCCAATTTTATCTAAATCAAGTCATTCAAATAATACACATGAAATCTAGATTAACATATTTTATGACTTTTGAGCCTCATTTTCCCAGGGAACATCTCTCACATCCCCCAACCCTAATGTATAGCATTTTGTGTTGTTTTGATTTTTTTTTTTAATTTTTGCCAGAGAACGTGTATACTCACTGGAGAGAGAGAGAAAGTGAGAAAGCATTCCCCACGGGGGACGATCACATCACATTCTTTTTTCCTCCATTTCTCCCTCCTTTTAGGATTTTTTGGGCACACACATCCCCAGTGTGTTTTTCAAGTCACTGGGTCCAATACTCAAACCGGGTGGTTGGCCATGTGAGATCCAGCTAGCTTAACCACCACCCCACTGGCTGGCCCACTAATGTATTTAAAGGACAAAGCAGACATCCCTCCTCTCCAGCTGAATTACCTACAGGAAAGCAGCTTCTCATCGAACTCCTAGGACTGGATGTCTCTCTCTGTCCCCAGGAAGAGCCTCCTGAATACTGCATTAGGATTCAGAACACGAGTCTCAATGAATCAAAACTCCTGTATTTAAATTTTTTGCCTTGATAATGAAAACGTCATTTACTTCCTAGAGACTGTTCAAAGTGGGAATAGCAACAGTGCTTACGAGTTAGGACATAAGGTTTAAACATCGTTATGTTTTTTGGCAGAATCATTATAATTGCTTTATAGATTACCAGAATGTAGCAAGTGGTTTTTATTACCATGATTACTATTCTAATAATACCAAGTAAACAACTGTGGCATCAAATAAATTTGGAACAGTGGCATAGAAAATATGAAGCAAGAGATAGCAGTTAAATATAGTTTTACTTAATTAAAATTTACCCAACAGGAATAAATGATGTGCTAAAGAACATAAGGAAAGAAATCACAAAAAGAATTTTTAAATTTTTATTATATAAATAACAAAATATTTATTATTATAATCATGATTGACTAGAATCAGTCTCTCATGTAAATTTAATTCTGTACCTATTAATATACTAACTTTTTAAAAGAATTATTTGTATTTATGGGACCAGCAAATGGCATAATGGCTACATCTCTAGACACACACAGTTGGAGTCCCAGACCCGGTGATTTAAAACTCACACCAGGTACGTGTGCATGCATACCCAAAATCCTGAGAGAAGAATGGAGGAGAAGGGAATTCAGTGTGGCCACCTTCCCTAGGGGATGATTTCTCTCTTTCTGTCTGCCTCTCTGGTGAACACATACAACCTATAGCAAAAATCTCTTTAAAAAAAAAGAATTATTTTAATTTTATTTATCATTTTTTTTACTTTGATATAAGGCAAATGAGCTCACCAGAGAAAGCAAGAAAGCAAGCTGCCAGGTTCAGGACTTGAACTGCAGTCGGCCATGCAGGAGTCCAATACCTTAACCATGGTGCCACCTGCTGGCCCTCCCAATAGACTTTTTTTAAAACTACCAGATACATAGACAGACTGTGCTAATGTGGTCATTTTGATTACAAAAAAGTTACCATTAGCAAAGAAACGTGACTGTGGACTCTGCATCGTGCACTTACCTTTACAAACAGAGACGTGATCCTCTCAGAGGTGTTATAGTAATGAGAGATACTGTAGATCATTTTAATTGCATTTATAAGTGTAGGAATAGCATCAATCATGGATATCTGGAAGGTGCCAAAAATGTTTTTAGGGAGAAAAAATCAAATTCAGTCAAATTCTAATTACAATAGCCTACTTACCCCTTAATTAGAATAAAGTTGAAGAGATTTTTAAAGTGTTATAATATCATCTAATGTTTTACATGAATACATTTATTGACAATTTTGTTTTTACTATTTTAGTCATATATGGTTCATCACATGTTGTTTCATAGGAAAAAATACTAACTTTCTATTAATGACAATCATCAGAAAGTTAATTATTAACAGCTATTATTAACTATTAGTAATAATTAGTATTATTTTTAAAAAAACAGGCACTTCATAAAGATAAAGCAAACATTAATCAATGACTTTTTTTCAGTTTTTTTAAGAGATTTTTGCTATAGCATGTGTGCACTTGCCAGAGAGAGAAAGAGCAAAAGACAGAGACAGAAAGTGAGAAATCACCTCCCAGAGGAGATGGCCATGCCACAATCCCTTTCTCCTCTATTCTCCTCTCAGATCTTGGGCACAGATGCACACATGCCTGGCAGGAGATTTAAGCCCCGTGTCTAAGGCTCAAACTGTAGTTAACTACATGGGAGTCCAGCGACATAACCATTACGTCAACTGCTGGTCCTTCCATTTTTTTAAGAGGTTTTGCCTTAGGGCATGTGCACTTGCCAGAGAGAGAGAAAAAGACAGATACAGTGAGGAAAAGTGAGAAATCACTCCCCAGGGGGGATGGTTATGCTGCAATTCCTCCTCCTTCATTCATTTCCAGGGATCTTGGGCACATAAGCACACACACCTGGTGAGAATTTCAAGCCACCAGGTCCAGGACTCGAACCACAGTCAGCCCTGTGGGAGTCCAGCAACATAACCATTATGCCATCTGCTGGCCCCAGTCAATAACTTTTTTTTTCCATAGGCACATGCACTTGCAAGAGAGAGAAAATGAAAAAGGACCCTCACCCCCCAGAGGGTGAGGGTGATCTACATAGTAATCCCTTCTCCTTCTCCACTCTCTTCTCAGGATTTTGGGCATGCACGCACAAGAACACAGAATGTTTCTCAAGCTGTTGGGTCCAGGACTCAAACCACACAGTCAGTCATGTGAGATCCAACTGCCTTAACCTTCATGCCACTTGCTAGCCCTAGCTGATAACTTTTTCCACAGTTCTTCAGATTATATTGGGTTGTCAGAAAAGTCCTGATGCATTTTTGAATAGAAAAAATATGTCATGCCCTTTCTGACAGGTCCAATACTCCAGAATGCCCATTGCAATATGTAATGAAAAATGTAATATGCAAATAAATGTTTTCAAAATATAACATCCCATCTATATTTTTGATAGATAATAGATTAGAGATAGACATAGAAATAGAGAGATGTGTGCATGTATATGTTATATGAATATATTTTTTTTCCCTGAGAATAAACAGGCATTTGGAAGACCTTTCTAATAGACTTTAGTATCTATGAAATGAAATTCAACACTTAATCCATTTAGCATAGAAAGAAGGGTCATCAGGAGATGGAATGAGCAGAAATCTCAACTCACAGGATCACTGCTGTACAAAGGGTCGCAACATTTTTCAAGTGTGTACAAGTATTTCACATTGTCCTTTGCTTCATTGGCTGCATCAGTGATTCGAATGTCAGTCTCCCTCCAAATCTGAGCACAATACAGAAAAGCAATTTTAACACAATTATTAACAGAGGAACTTCCAAAACAATAGCTGCTGAGAGTCACTGCAAGTCCCTCAGGTTGGATTTTCAATTTATTCTGTGCATGTTACATAAACCTGAATCCAGCAGGGTGATAGCTGGTGCTGTATTGGAGAGCATCTTACAATTTTTCATGGGATCAGCAGGTGGCATAATGGTTACATCACTGGACTCCCACATAGTTGACCACAGTTCAAGTCCTGGACCTGGTGGCTTAAAACTCATGCCAGTACATGTGAGTGCATGCCCAAATTCATGATAAGAGAAAAGAGGAGAAGGGATTGTAGCATGTCCATCCCCCCGAGGGTGATTTCTCACTTTGTATCTCTCTGTCTCCCTCTATCTCTTTGGCAAATGCACGTGGCCTATAGTAAATATCTCTCTAAAAAAAAAAATTCACAAAAGTTTTTAAGCCTCTCCAGGGCTTTCCTTAAAAAATACCCTTATCCTTAAAACAGATAAGGACAGGACAAGGAAGGAAAACTATAGACCAATATCCCTGATGAATATAGATGCAAAGATTCTCAACAAGATACTAGCAAATCATATCCAACAACTTATAAAAAAGATTATACATCATGATCAGGTAGGCTTTATTCCA